GTGCTGTGGCCAACCTTCACACATCAGTCACATCATGGGTTGGGCGGGAACAGTAAGCTCATAAATCGACTGAGAGCGGCTTCCAGTGGCGCCTTTGTATGTTGACGTCCGAACTTAAGCACTATTCACATGTTTATACTACTACATGAGAAATTTCTGCAATTTGATTGGCTTGGAGCAGTGAAATACCTACATGTGAAAATGACAAACTTTTTGCGGATAGTAGTATACAGTAAACAAATAATAGCATGATTTGTACGTGATATTTGGCATAAATACCACTCGTGATATTTCAAAATTGTCTCAAATTTCACTCGCCTAACGGCTCGTGAAATTTCGTATTTCGTATGACAATTTTGAAATATCACTCGAGGTATTTATGCCAAATATCACTACAAATGATGCTATTACATGTACTAATATATATTGTAAAGAGGGCACGTCTGTTGTCCTCTCATCCATGACTCCTTCCTTCCTTCCTTGACTGTATATTGCTGTTGTTCCTGACCCGCTAGCCGGATATGTTCTAGACTGCAAAACAGTCGGTATTTTTGCGTATTCAAGTACGCGCGAGCAGTCAAACAAAAGGTCGGCAACGAAGCTGAAAACAGAGAGCGAGACTGGGGAGAGACGCTAAAAATACGGTTTTTTTTCTCTCGCCTCACACGCCCTACCGCGCGCGTAAGACTCTTACGCCACGCTTTACCGATTTTTTTACTGATTTTGAGAAAAAAACCGACTGTTTTGTAGTCTAGATTTGTTCTCGGTAGTTCTGAGTTCAAATCCTCAACCACGCTTGTAAATAAATAGCCAACTGGTTTGCCTCCGGCCAGCTGGGATTCTTAACCCGTTTATGTTTGATTTAGTTTATTGTTTCAGGAATTTGCTCGGCCCCCCTAGCATCATGCTATAAATACTGCCGACGGTAAATAACGCATGTAGACCGCGCGTTGCCCGGGTATACACCCGGGGGTATACACTTTGCCCATTTTAGTCTGGAGTCGGGTATGGGTTTCGAGGGAACTGTACGGTGTGTGAACGTATTTATCGTTTCAATTCCAAATGAGTAAGAAAGAAAGAGAACTATGCGAATTCGAAATGGATCTGAATAATTTGTTTTTGTTTGCGCTCTAATCTAAGTAATGATAACATAATTTCTGCCTAAAGGCCAGGTCTCAAAACGAGTATGGATTTTAGAGTTCTAGTCTGAAAACGGGTGTGGAAAATAAAATAATTTTGTAGCTGAAAATTATACCCTGTTCAGCGGCAAATACCCGCCTAGGACAATAAGAAATTACCTCCCACGGGGGAACTGACGCTAAAGCAGACACTTTCGTGAATTTATTGTTTATGTACGATATTCACGAATATAGAAATGTACCGAGAGAGAATCATCCCTCTCTTGAATGTATGTATGAATTGAAGGGGCGTGAAATATCATGAAACACCTAAAATAACAGCTTATTTATGCATTTAACTCGTTGGACAGGATGATCTGAGGTGTCTCTCAGTCCTGATGACCCTAAAACAAAAGAGGTGCTTATGACACATAGGAGTCCAATTGAATTAGTGGTTTTAAAGGGGTGCGAGGCTATTGGATGTTCCTAAAAGTTTTTTTAAAAATCTCCATTGGATACGTTCCAGGAAAAAGTCTCTTCTTCTAGGCTGGAATTAGTATGCGAGAAAACAGGGGCGCGCGCGACGGAGACACGTGTGTCTTCCTCATGAAGAAGGACAATCAAAAAAGCGTCCAACACTTTAACATTATCGCTCTGAGGAGGTTCAAACGTTACTATATCATCTTGCATCATGGTCAAACGAATTAAGGCTAAGAGAAGTCAGTGCTGCCTTGTTTTGAGGAAGTTGCAACAAAGTACGTGTAAATCTACCCACCATCGCCTAGTAGATAGCCTACTCGTTTTTTCTTCAGGAGTTATCTGACTCAACCCCAGAGTTGGGTTTAGCAGTGTTTGCTCGAGAGGTAAACGTTGTAGTTACCGAGCGAGAGGAGATCTGATCTTCATTTCTGGTACTCTCCTCGCCAGACGTTGTCGAAGCAACAACATTTTTTAACTCTTCAGGATTAATAAAATAAATCAGTTCATCTTCTTGAGAGTAGAAGTCATCCATATCAATGTCTCCAAATATCGCCTCTCTACCATATGATGGGATTGCTGGAAGTTTCTTCTTTTTAATTTCTTGTGAGCTGCTTTCCTCGCCGTCCTTTTCCAAAACTTTTTCGTCTCTCGGAAGGCCAGGAAAATACGAAAATGTATGCATATCGCTGATTTTTCGGGACAAAAAACATCATGGGTTGGGCGGGAACAGTAAGCTCATAAATCGACTGAGAGCGGCTTCCAGTGGCGCCTTTGTATGTTGACGTCCGAACTTAAGCACTATTCACATGTTTATACTACTACATGAGAAATTTCTGCAATTTGATTGGCTTGGAGTAGTGAAATACCAACATGTGAAAATGACAAACTTTTTGCGGATAGTAGTATACAGTAAACAAATGTACGTGATATTTGGCATAAATACCAGGAGTGATATTTCAAAATTGTCTCAAATTTCACTCGCCTAACGGTTCGTGAAATTTCGTATGACAATTTTGAAATATCACTCGTGGTATTTATGCCAAATATCACTACAAATGATGCTATTACATGTACTAATATATATTGTAAAGAGGGCACGTCTGTTGTCCTCTCATCCATGACTCCTTCGTTCCTTCCTTGACTGTATATTGTTGTTGTTCCTGACCCGCTAGCCGGATTTGTTCTCGGTAGTTCCGAGTTCAAATCCTCGACCACGCTTGTAAATAAATAGCCAACTGGTTCGCCTCCGGCCAGCTGGGACTCTTAAACCGTTTATGTTTGATTTAGTTTATTTGTTTCAGGAATTTGCTCGGCCCTCCTAGCATCATGCTATAAATACTGCCAAGGGTAAATAACGCATGTAGACCGCGCGTTACCCGGGTATACACCCGGGGGTATACACTTTGCCAATTTTAGTCTGGATTCGGGTATGGGTTTCGAGGGAACTGTACGGTGTGTGAACGTATTTATCGTTTCAATTCCAAATGAGTAAGAAAGAAAGAGAACTATGCGAATTCGAAATATTTGAATAATTTGTTTTTGTTTGCGCTCTAATCTAAGTAATGATAACATAATTTCTGCCTAAAGGCCAGGTCTGAAAACGAGTATGGATTTTAGAGTTCTAGTCTGAAAACTGGTGTGGAAAATAAAATAATTTGGTCCGAAATCGGGTCAGGATTTGAAGAACCGGGCGGCACACCCCCACCAAGAATTCCCAGGAGTACCCCCCCGGGTATTTAAGGCTTCGGATCTGAAAAGACACCCTGTTGTTCAAGACGCAAAATAGTGAAATTGTATAAAAGGGACATTAACTGCAGGATTAACTGCAAAGGACAGCAAAGGAATTTGCCGCAGCGTCGTAGGATCTAAAGAAGACCTTAATATATATATCAAGTAGACCAGGAGCCGATTAGTCAGATTAGTAGACGCACTGAATTTCATTGAATGTTTTTTACACATTTCTATGTAAAATTGTATACCGCTGAAAATTATACCCTGTTCAGCGGCAAATACCCGCCTAGGACAAAAAGGAATTGCCTCCCCCGGGGGAACTGACGCTAAAGCAGACACTTTCGTGAATTTATTGTTTATGTAAGATATGCAGGAATATAGAAATGTACCGAGAGAGAATCATCCCTCTCTTGAATGTATGTATGAATTGAATGGACGTGAAATATCGAGGAAACACCTAAAATAACAGCTTATTTATGCATTTTACTCGTTGGACAGGATGATCTGAGGTGTCTCTCAGTCCTGATGACCCTAAGACAAAAGAGGTGCTTATGACACATAAGAGCCCAATTAAATGAGTCCAATTTGAATTAAAAGGGGTGTGAGGCTAAAAATCTCCATTGGATACGTTCCAGGGAAAAGTCTCTTCTTCTAGCCTGGAATTAGTATGCGAGAAAACAGGGGCGCGCGCGACGGAGACACGCGTGTCTTCCTCATCATAGAGAAGGACAATCAAAAAAGTGAACGAAGGCGCGTCCAGCACTTTAACATTATCGCGGGGAGGAGGTTCAAACGTTACTAATGATCTTACAACATGGTCAAACAAATTAAGGCTAAGAGAAGCCAGTGCTGCCTTGCTTTGAGGAAGTTGCAACTACGTACGTGTAAATCTACCCAACATCGCCCAGTAGATAGCCTACTCGTTTTTTCTTTAGGAGTTATCTGACTCAACCCCAGAGTTGGGTTTAGCAGTGTTTGCTCGAGAGGTAAACGTTGTAGTTACCGAGCGAGATGAGATCTGCTCTTCATTTCTAGTACTCTCCTCGCCTGACGTTGTCGACGCAACAACATTTTTCAACTCTTCAGGATTAATAAAATAAATCAGTTCATCTTCTTGAGAGTAGAAGTCATCCATATCAATGTCTCCAAATATCGCCTCTCTACCATATGATGGGATTGCAGGAAGTTTCTTCTTTTTAATTTCTTGTGAGCTGCTTTCCTCGCCGTCCTTTTCCAAAACTTTTTCGTCTCTCGGAAGGCCAGGAAAATACGAAAATGTATGCATATCGCTGATTTTTCGGGACAAAAAAGAGTGGCTGAATGGGAGGGACCTAAATCTTGCAAGTGTTAGAGCTCTGTCGTAGGCGATTTTATGTCGAGCCATGCACTGGTGGTTCGCTTCTTTCCCGATTTTCTCTAATTTAGACCGAGTTTTTAACGGAAGCTTAGCCTTAAGTTCGGACGTTTTTAACAACTTGGGAAGTTTACTGTAGTAGTCTTGAGTTTTTTGCTTCAGGAAATGTTGGCAGTGTTTATTTCGATGCTTCTTCTTTTCAGCTGAAGGTGATGATAGCAACTCTCCTTCAATCTCGTACAACCCGCGCATTTCCTTGTCTCCAGTCGTATGGTCATCAGAATCACTTTCGGAATCAAAATCACTGCTATACTCATTGTCAAGCGAGGTTTCTTGCAAAAGGGACAATAGATCAGGACTGGATAAACCTTTGCGAGAATTCTTGAAACCTCTCTTTTTCGAATTTCCTTTCTTGGGATTGTCAGACTTATTGTCTAGCGAAATATTCCCTTCATCCGGGCTTTCATCTCCAAAATCAAAATTCAGCTCAATCTCACTAGGGTCCAGTCCCTTATTTTTGTTCGCTCTAACGTTTTTATGTGACCGCTCGAGGGACTTGGCATCAATGGCGTCGGTGTCCGATTGGGATACATGGTCGCTGAAAACTACCTTTCTTTTAAGTCTGTGGTGTGTTTTTCTTTCCTCGTTACTTTCTTCCTGGGCGTTCTCGGCATTTGTTTGCTCTTGAAGTATCTTTCTCTCTTCATCCTCAAACTCGTATGTATAATCTTTATATGCAGTATCAAAACTCATCTCCTTGATGTCTTTGGAAGTTTTATTGATGAATTTCTGCAACTCCATGAGATCATCGGTCTGTCCGTCTGTGTTGGCGAAATCAAAGTTCAAAGGACTGTCACCTGCGTCCGCTCTCATTTTCATCAACAATCGGTCATTGTACACTCGTTCGCTCATCAGGTAGTAACTTTCGCGCCGCTTAGGAGCCCACTGTACCTATAGAAAATGAAAAATAATAATCACTACATATAGCGTCACAAAGTACTGTTAACGCCCAGTTCACAGCTGGTTCCTGGGCGCAGTGCCGTAGACGGTACTCGTTGGACACTAATGTGAACACACCTCTTTTTCAAGTAAGTACCCACGCTAGAATTCTGGCTCACATGAGATGCCATATTTTTTTCAGGGCCGTTTTGAAAACCTCTCTTGTGACAAACACCTTGTATAAAGTTTATTATTATCATTTATTACAGTGATGGTCAAAACACGCTACAGAAGGAAGTTGGAAAACAACGTTTTCAGTAAACGATGAAAGAGCAGTTCGAACTTGAAAGCCTTCTTCGAGTTGGAGAGAACCCTGGGAACCAGGCTGTGTATAATCTTTGCTATGTAAGACAGAAACAAGAAAAACCTCTGTTGTTCAAGCTGACTCTAAGGTCACGTTTCACACTATCATGAGCTCATTCACTCTTGTCATGAGCTAAGAGTCGTTGTCAACTCTTAATTTCAAATCAGACTAATCACAAACTGTGTAAGAAACTAGCCAATCAAAATCGCTGATATATTTTCTTACGACCCTGCGGGATTCGAACACGATACAGAAGGTTTAGAGTGTCTACGACTCACGCAGGCTAGTATTCCCTAAGCAGTCCTGTTAGGTAAGACCTACCAAAACCGGAAGTTTGTGTGCGCCTCGTTCCCGCGCTCCAAACAGCAACGCGGCGCATCTTCTCTGATGATGACGTAATTCGTTCAAATCATATCTTGGCTTAGGTTTAGACTGTGAGGAGTCTGGCGACGTCGTAAGCGATGTAAGCGTCTTTTGTGCCGAGGCCTTTTTCTTTTGCTCAGCCAAAAGATCTTCACAACGTCGGCGCTCGCATTCCAAAGCGGCTTCAACTTTCTGAAACAAAACGAAAGGGCCTTAACGTAAGTGTAAATGTATTTGCACGGTGCTATAAAAACTAAAGAATTTTTCCATGGGCCATACCAGAGACGAGATCGCAGCGGTCGAAGACCCTTCCTGTTCGTGTCCAACAGTTGAACTAGCCTTGAGGTCATTTGAAGTACTGGTGTTTGATATAAATTTTACTACATAACCCGGGTATACTTACACGATCAATAGCGTGAACTTAAATGCATCTTATGGGTCCTTATGCCCCATATCACAGCAAAGCGTTTGTCACAGTTTGCTATGATCTATAAAATTGACTCCTTTATAAAAGTTGCTTCAGCATTGATATTTGTAGACTGTAAACTCGATGTAAATAGAAAAATGAGTAAAAGTTTACTTGCTACTTAAGGCAGTCTTCAGCTTAGTTTCTATGTCGCAAGGTGTGAATAGGGCAGTAGGTAAAACGTTCTCTGGTAATAATCTTTGTGATTTTCCTATAAGGATCTTAGAATAAGTATAAGCTTCCCTTTGCAACGCCGAAGGCTTTACTTAAGCTTTGTTCATAATATACCGGATAACTTTTGCTCCGGCACGAAAATCATACCGAACAGGGAATCTGCTCGCACATAAGAACGGTAATTCTGCAACGGAGCGAAGCTACGCCGCGCGGGCTCTAAAGTGGAGAGACACATATCGGATAGGTGTTCATACTATACCAGATATAGCTTTTCGTGTCAGCACGAAAAACTATTCGGTTTAGCTCGGTTTGTTGTGAACATTGCCTTAATTTTCAGAATTGTCGCTGAGAGCCTCAAAGATCTCCCCAAAGAACCTTTTTGCCGAAGATGTAGTTTGTGGTTTTTCCTTCCTGGAAGTCTGCACTAACCTTTCTGTAGTGGTCTCCATAGGTCATCTGTGCGTATTTAACATCTAAAGTTGAAGTCAGGTTACCCAGTATGTGATGACCGGTGGTGAAATGTCGGCCCTAAAATGACAAACGTGCAACGCATGCATCAGTATCCGATCAATGGCCTCTTGAATGTATTTATATATTAATTTAAAAGAGCAACATATATAATCGCGAGACCTTCACTTCGTGTTGCGTTTGGTGTTACTACGGACAGTTATACGGTATAATGTGAACTTAACCTTAGTGACAACATGACTACACAGTGTGCAGACGTAACTTGCATGTAGTAAGTTCTTTATCAAAAAGGAGATGTTTCGGGTTTTCCTCTCGCAAGAGCCTGACTTCTATCATTTTATTCACATAAAATGGACCACCTTCCATTATATTACCGACAACTAAATCTTCGGATTTACTCATCCAAATTGTGAACTGCTGTCAAGACAACTCGGCCACGTGCCCAAGTGTAAACTTCGGGTAACTCCGCGATTTGCCAGGCAGAATGACTGGATCAACTGAGGATCAATAAAAGGCAATAACGACTGACATACAACTCCGTCTTAACAGTTTGCTCCATACATCTTGAAATTAGTTCCCGGTTAACGTGAAAATGATGATGAAAGAAGCTTTAAGTAAGCTGCAAGAACGGCATAATCAGAAAGGAGTCCAGAATTTTACACAGCTTTGAAGATGAAACTTGGCTTATAAACTTTTAGTACAACTTTGAGGATGTTTGAAGACCAGCTAATGTAATTCGCGTAAAACCAACCGGATCATGAAGTTGCCGGGTGGAACAACCACTCAGCAAAGGGCACTGCACCAGTTATATGTGATGAAAATTTCAACATACATTAGAGCGATTTTCGTATGACCTTGAAAAATGGTTTCGGTAAGTGTTCGTTATTTGTTTTATTAGCCAATCGATGAAAAGATCAAAACATGGACTCTTCGTTTTCCCGCCAAAGAGAACCCTAATACGGAGAAGGCATTGTTCGATTAGCCAATCGTGTCGCAGTATGACGTCAAAGCGATTTCTAGAAAGTTCTTCGGGCATGAAGTTTTTTCAGCCGAGCTTTCGCTTAACCAACCAAAAGCGACGCGCGTTTGTATCCGTTCGACAAACCAATCAAATCGCTCTATTTCCCTTCGTTTGTTGTTTCTGTTTTGTTCGCACGATTTCATTTCAAGGTCATACGAAAATCGCTCTAATCTATCTGTCAGTCTTCTAGTTTTACGATTTAAACTTACCCCTTTCAAATTAAAGCGTTCTAAGCGGTCACGACGAAGTAGAGGTCATCATAACTTTAGTGACGCCAAAGCGCTATGTAAATCTTTGTTTTGCAGTAAATATATAAACTTTCATTGGCAAACAAAAGTTTGAGAAGAAAACAAAAGAAACAGTTATTGAATGAGACAGTTGTTCCTGGGAGAGTTGTTAAACAAAGGAGTCGGGAGCATAGTTTAGAAGTAGCAACTGAAATGTGAAAACTGGTTAACCTCCCATGAGATTAGACGCTTGAAAAGGAAAAAGGTTGCAAATTTACATAAGCAAACTGCTCATTAATTATTTCTCGATTCTTAGCGTTAATTTCGCAATTTCACGAAAGATAACATAATTATCGCGATGTTAGCTTGTCTGTTTTAATCAGACTGTTAAAATTTAATGCCGAGATTAAACCCGGCGCCAATTGTGCTAATCTGCTCTTAAAGACCTCAAAGCTTTGGCAATTACTGCATGCAGAACTGTAAAACTTCCTAGTCCTAGCGGAAAATTTTAATAGGATTATTAAATACGTTTCTAAATGCCTTCTTATTAAAAACGGCAAGCGAAGTTGGTTTTAATTAAACACAGCTTTAAGTCTAATATAATATTAACCAAGAGACTGTCTATACAGCCAGCATCGACAAGGAGCCATACTGGGGCTGATTGAACTATATTCATGAAATATGGCAGAAACTTTGAGAACTTTACAATGTAAATTTATCATGAAATTTTTCACTAAATATCCTGGAAGTTCAGTTTTGTTTTTTTCAACAGTTTTTGCATTCTAGTTTGATATCCAGCCTCGATGGTACTCAGTTTGACGTCTTGCCTTCGAACGATTCCAAAAAAACTAGAGTGGATTGAATATATGAGCCAAAGAAGTCATTTAGTCATCAAAAAACTTAAACTAACAATTAAACATTTATAGTTTTCGATTTGACACAATGTTTTCTCATTCACTGATATAAAGAGCTTTTTGGACTAACTGTTTCTTCAGAAAACAAGGCTTTATTCAACTTTTGAAAAATTATTTATCCCGCTATTTTTTAGCACCGATTGAATGTAGAAACACAAGCATAAATAACTTGTTTTGATGTTTTCAAAAGAAAAAGAGTTAGGAAGAAAATTAACAGCGGGAACCTTGCTCCATCAAATGTTGTTTATTTCGTCACTTAGGCAAAAAAGGTTTCATCCGCTAGTACACATGTAAACTTAGCTTAGTTTATATGGTACTTCACTGTTGTCAAGCTGGCGACTACAGTACACAAAGGAAAGTACTTAACAACTCACCGGTTGTGCTTTTGGTATGGGTACAATGTCTTCCAGCTTTACTCTGTCCAGTTTCCAGAACATCTTCAGCAGATCTGTCAAAGATGTTCACAGAACACCACAGTAAAGATATTAACAAAATCTGGTTAAAATTTCTGTGTCAAGTCACGTCCATGATGCTTGTGTTGGGTTTCTTTATAATGCAAACTTTCGGTGTACTTTCCATTATATTCGCGTGGATTAAGTAATCTCACGGGAGACAGTCGGGCGAATTTAATTGGTTTATATAACCTTCGTTACCAGGCTTGTGATAAAACCACAGGCAGCCCAAGTTAGCAAAAATGTTATACACAGGAAAACGACACAACTACATTTTTGTAATCTTGCACGAGATTACAACACAACATAGTCACTTTGTCAGTCAAAATAAGCTGATATAAGAAGGATATGACTAAATGTTGAAAAAAAATCTTGCTTACGATGTACTTTGGTTGTTGCGTACATTTATTAGCTAACTTGATATTGTACTAGCGAGGCAATTCAACCATTCTTCAAGCAACCTCCCCTAAGTCATCATTTTGCTCTAAGTAAGAGGTTAGTGTTAATGTTAGCTTAGGGGAGGGGTAGGTGGGCAGTTTCCCAGAAACCTCTCTCTCCCCTCTTTAGGGAGGTTAAGCAACGACGACGGCAACGGCAACGAGAACGGCAAAAAAATTAATAGGTTTAGATTGGCAAAATAATAACTTTGCACATGCATCACGCTTTTTTGTACATTTTTTTGCTGTCGTTGCAAGACTACTGGTATGAAAGTGCCTAAATTCACGTTTTGTCAGCTTCAGGGGCGTAGCTAGGGAGGGTCCTGGGGTGCCCGTGACCCCCCCTTAGTGGGCCTTCTTTTGAGCAGACAACCTACAATATTCGGGTGGCAAAAACGCCATGACAATATCTTGGCCGTAAAAGCCATTGTTGAAAAGCCCACTTCAGTTTAAAATTTGTTTTTTTGTAAAGTATTTTCGTCAACGGCTCTTGTCTTTAGTTAATATGGGCCTTCATGCCGCGATAATACGACTGAACCCGCTGATACACGAGGGAGAGCAGCGGTATAAACCATATATGGTAGGCGATCCCCGGATGGTATCCCTGTCTGTGACCCCCCCCCCCCCCCCCCCNGAATAAGTGCGATAAAGTTTGAGGCAGCGCGAATTCACTTTTTAAGTGACGTTTTCGTAGCCGTCGCCGTCGTTGTTACTTAAGCTCCATTTTGTGGCGATGGGAGACTGGGGAGAGGGAGGAATAAGAAAGCGCGCGCGGGACGATCAAGGGGAAAGAGCAGGGTGGATAAAGGTTGGGCAATGAAAAGAGTAGACTATTAGTAGTCCCCCTTTTTTCCCTTAGGGATAGTAGAGCGAGCAAAACGCGAGCGCGCGTGAAAATCACCCCACGCGAGAAAAGGTGACACGCGGAGGGGAGAGAGAAAAAATTCTCTCTCCCCACCGCGTCTCGCCTTTCTGACACGGGGTGATTTTCACGCGCGCTCGCGTTTCGCTCGCATAGACTCGTAGTCTATGAAAAGAGCACTCCGCTCTTCAAGTGATGTGTGATGCGGAGTAGGACTGGCATGAGCGCTCTTTCCCCTCTTCCCGTGCACTTGAGGGCCGGCGAAAGTTCCTTTTTGCAAACCGGAAATCCTACTTTCTTTCTAAAGAGGTAAATTCGTTTCGTAACAATATTAATAAACAGTTTCATATATTTATGTCTGTATGCTTTAAAGTCAAACTTGTTGGTCTTATAATGCCAAAATTTGAGTTCAATTTGAAAGTGTTTGAATGCCTCCTCCTGCCACTAAATATGACGTAATCGTCTTTCGCCGTTTCGTTTGCAAAAGCTCAACATTACTAAACCGCTTTTTTTACATATGTTTAACGAGGATAAATCTTACATAACATAACAAAAAATCAGCTGGATTTATTTGGATTTAGAGGCGTAGTACTGCTACAAACTTTGCCTCAACCTTTATCCGCCCTGGGAAAGAGAGTCGTCCCCCGCGCTCTTGCAATTTTTATCGGGATACCCCGCGGGAACCTCTGCTGAGAAGAGTGGGAAAGTCGTTATGTCTAGAAGAATCTGTTATTTAAGTTTTTAGACGGTTGGCGCCAGAAAACAGGCTTCAGATACAAGATACATTGCTTAGCACAGAGAAATCTAAATTGATTGGTCGATCTCTGTGTATTCACTTCGGCAGAATCTAGACAAGAACCTCGATAACTCGAACTCGCGGAATTCGAATTCCCCGCTAACTCAAACTAAATTTCCTTTCCCTTGATCAAAATTTCACTGAAATTAGCACCGATAACTCGAATTCCTCGCTAACTCGAACTGTTTTTCGTTTCCCTGCAGAGTTCGAGTTACCGGCTGTAGTGTGCATGTATCAGGAAAAATTGTACTTCAGTAATTTGAAGAAAGGAGAGGGCTAGGCTTAAAAAGGTTATTTTACAGATTTTATTCACCAGGTCTCTCACTTGTAACTAAATTTCTGCATCAAAAAGTTCTTGTCAACAAAAATAACAGGTTAAAATATGTTAATAAATGTGTAGGTGCGTTTTTAAGTGCACTTATCCTAGCATAAAGATTTTATGTACAAGAAATGACTGACTGAAATGATATGTTTACACAAAGGAATATAAATAAAATTGCAAACTAATTAAGGTAAACACATGGATGGTTCTATAAGTCAAGCGTGTAAAAAATGCGCATATTTTCTGTCTTTCATGCTTTGTTGTGTCGATGTCTTCAGGTAGATTTGCATTCTATTTCATACGCATAGATTTCCTTTTGTCGGTGAAAACGTATGTTAACCGAAAAAGCTTACTTTTCCAGCGCTCACGTCAGCACCACAGTAGTTAAAAGCAGAGAAAAGCGATTATCTTCTGACCACTATTACTCGTTGTGCTCTCACACTGTGACTTTCTGATGCAAAAATACTTCAGGCCGGTCGTCACAGTTCTTGCGCGCGATTGCTAGGGGAGAAATACTTAAAGCCTTCTTTGGTCGTCCAGATTCTTCGCGACGGATGGTTTTCTAACACGCTTCGGCAGCCTGTTAAAAGAGACACATTCTTTGGAAAACTTTCGCATAGTACTGGATACATTTGATGGGAATTTTAAAGACTGGATAGCCTTATGCTTGTCTGCTTAAACTGAAAAGGTGCGGGCCACTTCAGAGTAGCAATCGCCCGGATCGAACAGCACAAGAAGCAGAAGCTTTGCCTCATTAGTGAACTGTTAATGATCGATGTTATCGTCGGAAAATATGGAGACAAGTTCGGTTGTTTTACCCACGAATATAACAGGCAACTTTTCTACAACGGCACCTCCTACGAATGGGACAGGTGAGTTAGATGTTATTTCATTATTTTCTGATGTTGTTATCTAGCAAATTATATTAATGAGAATGTGCATCATGATTATGATCAAATGTGCGCATAAAATACGGCCTTAAAACTTCAACCATTAGATTTTAAACTCTCAATGAAAACCATCTAGGAATGTTTTGATTTAAAGCTAATTTTGCACTTTCGTCATCCTAGTACAATTGCTATATGACAGGGAACTTTAATTCCGCTAATCTCTTTAGCATCGTTAACTACAATTAAGGCGATTTTTCAAACTCGTTTTAAAGGCTGTTAGGCAGCAGTTTTCTCTTTAAAAAAATTAAAGCAGGTATTTGGTAGAGACGAAAAATGGTTTGAAATACTTATAATGTATTACTTGTAAGTCATAATTTTACGATCAAGTTTTCGAGCACGCGAGGACAAACAGTCTGGCAAATTGACGTCATCTTGTAATTCTCCACAAGTTTTGAAATTGTTTCCTTTTTCGCTTTGAAATAACGAAAATATATAGCGTTAGACTTTAAATGAAAAGTTTTGGTTTCTACATTTTTTAACAATATCGAAGATATATATATATTTCCTTGGGAACTCTTCAGAAGGTGAATTCTAATTATATCGAGTTTGCGCACACAGCGTTAATTATAATTGTTGAGAATTACAATGGAATAACAGATCTCCGTTGGCAAACATAACTTAAGACTTAACATCATTGGTTAAATTGATATTTTCATTATATTTGTCTCCAAGGAAAAGTGAGCCTAATTAAAAATCCCTTAAAATATCCAAGCGTTTTCTTTTTCTTCAGAAAACAGCAATCATCATTATATTGCTAAAATATTTCAATTAAACGCATCTATCAATTTGCTCAATATGTTTGCAGAGACTTCTCCTTTTTTTCTGATGTCTGTCGATAACATTATCTCCACCGCGTGTTTAAAGATATTTTGTTAATTAATTGAGGATTCGCGAAGCTGAATTCTTGCTATGGATTACTTCCAATTTTTCTTACTTTCAAATATAGTTGCAGCTCCAAATTTATCCGTTGCGGTTTATTTCTTTTGATTTTTGTCAGAAAAATTTTAAACGAGTTTTTCTTTCAGATCATAATGAGTCAGAAACAATAAGAAATAAAATTTAAATATATATGATATTTTTAATACTATGAAAAAAGAGAAGAAATGTAGAAGACGGGGGGATTAATCTGTTAATTCATAACACTTTCCAATTTTCGTTTTTCTTTTTGCTTTGTTTGATGAAGCTTTGCTACCTTATCAGCGACTAAAGTCATCAAATTATTGTGTTACGAAGTCGAACATATGTTGTCCGTTGCACGCGATAGTTTGTCGTAATTACTTTGTTCATAATGATATTAAAAAAGTGACGGAACGGTAGAGTATGCGGCTTATCTTCAGTCACGTTTGTTTACCCTTACATGCAAGCTGTCTACAGTACCGTCCCAGAGCGACTTTGGGTAAAATTCTCTGTCTTTCTGTGAGGCCACACTAGGGCCATTTATACGGGGAAAAATAAGACGCGTCTTACATAAGACGCAAACTGTACCATTTATACGAGCATGTCTTATCTTAGACAAGAACAGCTCGTGGGCGCGATCAATTCAACCAAAATTCCAACCGGTCCGACCTGGAAAAGTGGTCCACCTCAAAAGGTGGACCCGGTTTTTCGAAACTTTTCGGTTGGACCGAACCGATCATTGAGTTTTGGACCAAAATTTCCGGAAATTTTGGTCGAATGGATCGCGCCCCGTATAAATGGTTCGCGTCATGTTGCCCGTAGCAACGGCAATCCAGCATGGCGCGCTAAAAATTTACGCATGCGTACTTTGCGTTCGCGTCTTATGTAAAACGCGAAGGTCATTTATACGAAGTTTTTCTCGTCTTAGCTAAGACGCGTCTTATCTAAGAACAGGTGTTAAGGGCTGTTCTAAAATAAGACTTGTCTTAGCTAAGCCGCGTCTTATTTTAGACAAAATGTGCTGTTTATACGGAAAGTTCGCGTCTTATTTAAAAGACACGTCCTATTTTTCCTCGTATAAATGGCCCTACAGTGGCTTAAACTTTGGAGTCCATGGATGGAATATACTTTAGAACGTAATGACTGAGACTACGCAACTGAAAGCTACTGAGTAGTACTTTTAGACTCCGTCCACACGTAGCCGGATATCTTGGAATCCGCAACTTTTTCTTTGCGGATACGGCTTCCGTCCGCACGTATCCGGTGAATCCGGCATACGAATTCGAAACTTCTTGAATCCGCTCTCCTGAGTGGAAATTTGTGAATAAATGCATGATACGCATAGCCCTTTGGTAAATGCTCTGGATCTTTTAAGCCAGAAATTAAGACATGTTTTGTTATACGGGGTCAACGTACTCTAAAATTGGGCGAGCAGCAGTTACAAATAACTTAGCTAATAAAATTGGTGGAGTACCACACTGCTTAAGAACACACAGAGAGAATAGCCTGTTGTATAGCATACATGATGGGTCCGCTTCAGATCATTACTAATACAAACTCCAAGCAGTTTTTACACTACAACCCTTTCGGTTGTATTGCCACACCAAAGGATATAGGATTAATAATAAATTAAAGTTTTGATTGATCGTTAACCATGATTAATTATCTTCTCTTTACATTTTACATCTTTTTGGATTTTATCGGACTCAGTTTCATTCAGGGTGCTCCTAAAAAAAGCGTGGATATTATTAGTAGGAAAGTCAAGTAAGCTAATACCATTTCAGGGATTATTTCAAAGGCAGTTGTATCATCAACAAATTTAATTTTAAGGTTCTAAGAAGGCAGTGAATTATTTGTCATGATGATAAACAAGATGACGCCTATTTTTGAGCCTTGTGGTATATCTCCCTTGGGCGATTTCCACCTCAGAGATGGTGTTCCCTAACCTCACTGCCTGGGTCATACTTCTCAAAAACGCTTAAATCCAGTTCACTTACATGTTCACTGTAGCAGGGTGAGCCTGATGTGAGCCGGATCAGTTGAGGTTTCTGGGAAACTGTCCACCTACCCCTCTCCTAAATCACAATTTTGCTTTAAGTGAGAAGTAGGTATCAAGGTTGGCTTAGGAGGGGAGGTGTAGGTGGGAGCTACATTTACTCTTCTTTATTGCAGTCTTCAACAAGTACGCGGGCGAAGCCATCGCCTTCGTAACCGGAAGTAAAGCTGGAATGGTTGTAGGAATCATTATTGCTATTGTTATCGTCATAATAATAGTACTGTGTGTCCGGCAAGCAGTTAAAGGGCTCCAAGATGCTAAAGAGAGAGCCATGTCAAAGCTTGGAGCCTTAATGAAAAGAGATGAATCTGTGGAACTTCTTGATGCTACTCCCGATACGGAGTTGGAAGCGGTTCAACCTGCATCTTCTGATAAAAAGAAACTGGTAAGAGATTTGCTTTGGTCTGACCAGCTCCTTACGCATGCGCAGAGCAATATTAACTCGCAATTCGCCACTTAAGAAACGAGAAGAGAACTGGAGACGAAACGTGTCTCGCAATTGCTTCTGGGATTGTTACTGGGGACGCGTTCGTCATCTATTGGCCAAAAGTCCCAGAAGTCTTTGCGAAAGTTAACTCGACCCAGTTTTTTCTCGTTGCTATCACACAGTGTTTGCCGAGAATAAGATTTCTGAAAAAATAACAGGGCGAGCGGGTAGAGAAAGTGGGAGAAACGTAGTTTCTAAGTAGACAACGTCTGCTGTTGGTTTTTTTAGTAAAAGGAAAGCGGTGTATTTGCAAAGAGGTCTTTTACAAACACGGGCAAGTAGGAGAAATTTATGGTATTTTGTTTCTTGCAGGAAAATCTTGGAAACATTAAATTTTCACTTGCGTACGACGAAGAACGGTAAGAATTGACAAATTAAGAAAAGCGCTTAATCGATCGTTCTTCAGTCTTTTTTACAATTTTCACCACACCAGTCCAGTAGTAACACCAATTTTAAATTTATCTCCTTGAGATAAGTGGAAGATTATTTTGCTATAATTAAATGGAGGTCTCCGTCGAGATCCTATCCATCCTTCTGAGCTATTCTTCTGAAAGTTTAAAACTGTTGTTAAATGTTTCCCTTACGCATTTTTGAAAGGGCTCAAATTTCCTGTTATGAATTAAAAGAAGATTTGAGCTACTTAATGCTTCGCGACAGTTTGAAAATTTCAAAATTTACAAGAATTTGTATGGAAAACCATTTAAGCGTAACTGGGCGGCAAAAGTGATTTTTCTCATACAAGTCCTTCTAATTTTCAGCGGCCGTTGCAATCGCTGCTTTGGGATATATGGCTAGAAATTTACAGATTACCTGATTTTAACATCCTCTTTCAGCTCGCGTTAACAAACTTTTTTAAAAGCGAACTGTTTTCATGTTTACCGAAAGTGGATCACGTGGTCAACTAATGCAGAAGGCCTATTATATTAATAGACGAATTGAGAGATACTGGTAGTTAATAATAACAGGTTACAACACTGGGTTACTCTTTTATGGTCATGGTCATGCAAATAGTCACAAAATAAAGCTTGTTTCTCTTTTTCAGTTCTGAGCTACGAGTAAAAGTTTATCATTGCGATGGTCTGCCAATGAAATTCGTCGGAGGAACCGTGTATACGTACGTTGAGGTAGAAATGTTTCCTTTTCACCGGATGACACCCGAAAAACCGCGAACAAAATACATAAGAAACGAGTTCAGCCCTGTTTTCAACGATGAAGTCTGCATCACAATCAATAAGGAGGAGGTCGATGACCAAAAAATGTACCTTCATGTCTGCGACTACAATCAGATTTCTACGCGAGATCTGATTGGCTCATGCAAAATTGAACTTGATGATGTTAGTTTCAAGGCAAAAGGCAAGGAGACTGTGTACGAGGAAACGCTGAGATGGATCGATTCGGTAAGTAACTCACGAACCTGGATTTGATCGAAACAGAGTAAGGCTTGGGCTGACTTTTAACCTATTCGTCTCGAACAAGTTTGCCAAAGAACGCCATCTGAAGCTAGTTGTGGTGTATTCTGGAACACGATTTTATTTTGGAATTTCTGGTCTACTTAGAAGTTGTTTTTGCCCCTTTTCTTTAGCCTGTTTGATTGTAATGTGCTCATTCAGGTATGTTTTGCCACCTGCACATGACACAGATGGCAGGCCAGTGTTGTTGATAAATAGAACGCAGTCTCGTTTCCAGGGTTCTCTCTCTTGAATTATAATAACTTTTCGTTTCTTTATCAAATCCCCTGAGTAAGGATCGCTTGTCCGTCTGAAATATCGGGAAACCTCAAGTCGCTTTTGTCGTTGCTGTTTTGTTGTTAATGCTTATATTTTTGTCTTGAATAAAACAACAGGATTTGGATGTCGACATTTATATAAAGGGTTCCTCACTCTTGCCTCGAGAAAACAAGAGAAAGAACCCTGGAAACGAGGTTGACTATAGAGCGGTGCTTAGCCTCCCTATACTCGGCCTTATAATGCTGCGACTTGCGACCGTAGGTTTCTGATCTTGCAATGGTGTTTTATTCAAATTGAATTGAATGTTGTTGTGCTTGATCCTTCCCGTATTCGGCTTCGTTCTTTAACAAATTAACGCTTGTCAATAGACTCTTTAGCTCACAAATGTTGCCTTTTCTCAGGTTCGTGGTGCGGAGCGTGGGGATATCAAAATTTCCATGCAGTACTATGAAGGTGAAAGTCAGTTGATTGTTAAAGTACTGGAATGCAAAAGCTTAAAACCTTTCCCAGGACGCGTGTCGTGCAGTAAGTATTACGGAAATACGTAATTTGTGCCCTTATTTTGTCTTCTTACTACGAAAGTGTGAAAATCTAAACTTTTAAGACTTTTAAGTCTTTGTACAGAGAGGCTCTGTGTCATGTGTCATCTTTAACAGAAAAGGTACCCTTCTCTTATACCTTGGTATACCAACAATCCTGGGCAAAATAGATGAAAATTTTAGACCCCACTCCCCCAGATCAAGAATGGGGAAATGGCGCGTTTTGCCTTTCGCGTGCCTTCATCCTTGTTTTTTTTTGGGGGGGGAGGGAGGGAGGGAGGGGGTTGCTTTTCCATTTTATTCTGTTCAAGACTGTAGTTACAGAAGACCGTAGAACGATGCTTTCTGGCCTTTTAACTGCTGTAGATGCACCCTTTTTTTAATCTGAAAAAATTAACAAAACCAGGAGGATTTCTTGTCTTTTTCACAGCAGATTTGTATGTAGGGTCTTTAAGGTCCTTTCATGACAGACCGAAATGACAGATTTCCCTACCCTTTCATATACTTCTGCTAGTGAAATCCCTTCCCTTTACATATCTGAAGCCTGAAAATGGTACCCCTTCCGGGCGGTTCCTCCCCGTATAGGCCATTGTAGCAGGGCCCCTAGCGCTTTTCCCTTACAAAATGGGAGGGGCGAAGCCCTGAAGACTAGATTGACGGGGGTATCTAACCCATAGACCAGTAGGCCCGGGCCTTCCAATGTTTCGTTTGCACTCTACCACTTGTAATAAATGGTACGTTGTTGGGGCGAGCTAAAAGAGTTATAGATCAAAGTGTTGGGGATGTCAGCGCGTACTGGTCGTACGTACAATCAAGACTTTTTCAGGATATGTGGAAATGAAAGTCAGCCAGGCCTATAACAAGTCGATAAGCTGGCTACGCCCCCTGGTGATAGGGAGTACCCCGGGTCAATAGCATCGCATGGCACTGACTCTTGTTACTTAGCTTACAAATGAATATTAACTGCAAATTAATATGCCGTAGAGTGTAGGATCTAATATCAAGAAGGGGCCAGATCAGCAAAAGTATACCCAGTAAACACACGTGTTTGCTTAGCTAACAAGCCTGAGGATGTTTCAATGATTGATTCTAACGATTTTTTTTTCCGCCTTGAAATGGTTTGCGTCTTTGTAGAAGTGAAACTGAACCATTTCCTTTTCTTCTTTTTTTTTTGCAGATTCCTACGTAACATTGAACCTCGTGCGAGGTTCGAAAGTCTTAACAACCAAGAAAACGAAAGTGGTAAAGAAAAATTTAGAGCCCAAATTTGAAAACGAATTTACGTTTATTGTGGAGGAACATCTCTTAGATGAGGTCAATCTGGTAATACACGTCAAAGACAAGCCACTGATTGGACGAAAGCGTCTGATTGGTGAACTTTGTATTGGTTGCCAAGGAGTCGGGCAAAGTCTCGCTCAGTGGAAACTTATGGTAAACAAAGAAGTAACCATGTGGCATCAACTGGAGCTTCTGAACATTGTTCCTGGTAAAACAGATCTTCAGACTACGATAAAGGGATGTTTACGGGACTTTTACCCGGGGGTTTATTTTCCTCCGATAGCAGTGTCCCTCAAAAGAAACCAAAGAAGGAGAAAGTGTCAAAGAGGCAGTCAAAACTTTAACGACTTCTGTAACTTCCTTTCACCACAGCCAGGCCTTATGATAGCACACTTTTACTCGATGAAATTTTTATTCATCCCCTAACGGACATTTTTCATCGGCCGTCTTCTCTTCAGTAGCATTTAACGAAGAACAATGAGAAACCTTCGGCCGGTGTCGTTATTTTTGTCGTCACGCAACGTACCTACTTACTCGAATCAGGAAGAACCCTTGCGTGACGAACCACAGAATCTAGTTCCCAGGGTCTTTCGTTTCAATGACTCAAAACCGCTGCCAAGAACGAAGTGCTACGTCATGAAAGAACAACGCGAGAGAAGACAAATGAAAAAAAATACCAGTTTTTCTCTAACACAGTATAATTCATAAAGTTCTGTTGAAAGTGGCCTGAGTAGCTGGCGGGATTAGAGTGCGAATGCTGCCTGTATTGTTTTGGCGGCGGAGCCGCGAGAACAGTGGGATACATTTTCCCTCTCGGTTTCTCTCGGCTTCGCCGCTCGCTTCGCGTGGCGGCTCCCAAGAAACTCGGTACCCCCTGTTCACAAGAATCACGCCAGATACACAGGCTATGTTGAAAGTTTTTTTCACTTAACATGAAATAAATAAATAAATAAATAAATAAATACCGTATTTTAAAAGACTATACGTGAGGGAGTTGTGGGAAATTTTCGATTTTCTTTTGAAAAGTCAAATCATGTTGGCTTGCTACTACTGACAACGTTCATTTTTAAATAAATCTGCGCAACTATTTTCATTGAGGCCCGACTCTATGTTGAGACTTCAAAAAGTGCAGTACAGTTAAAATCCTCCAGGCAGTAAACCTGTTACCATGGAGTTTCACTGGCGACTACACGGTCGACCAGTGCAGTGAAGCCACGCTTATCCTGTGTAGACCCCTTTGCCTGCTCAATGGAGACATTTAATACTGATTTAGCGATATTCATCCCGATTGTATGGATGCCTAGACTTCGCAAACAGCATCTTCTTTGTCAGCGTAGTGTTTGGACAACGGCAAACATGACCAATATATTAAAAAAAAACTCGATTGATAACAACTCGTTTAATTTATCTGTTTTTAAAAAGAGTTAAATCTCTTTTTTGAAGGCGAGAAGCATAATAAAAGCTGATTGTCAATATCAGTGAAGAGTAAAGTGTGATATTACATGTTTTTAGGATATTGTGGTGTTCCGGATATTGTCCGTTTAAATTTAGCGTATCGATTGAATACAAATCATGAGAATTTTTGGACTTTGTACAGCTGTGGAAAGCAATATACAAACAATCATTCATTTATATCCCCTTGTGTTTCACAAATTATAAATACCAATTATCAGTAAACTTGGAATAGACGCCGTTTTTTAAGTTTCTTTCAATAGCATCCGAGACGAGAAGACTTCAAAATGTCTCACTGTTTTTTGCACAGTCCTTGCGTAATAAAGGTCAATTTCATGTTTTTACAAACACAAATACATTTACAAAACGTCTTCGTTAAACGCTTCAACCAATGAAAATACATCTAGTATACTGGCAATTAAAAGAGTAAATACTATTTTAACTGATCATTTCAGACGTAAAAATATGACAGACGAGGTTTTTTTTTGTTTTCGGAGCGTTTTGTTCATTTTACACTGATTTTACCTATTATCAGTAAAAAGTCAGTTTAAATCTACTTAGCCTACTGTACAGAAGGAATTCACTTCAGAAGTAGAGTTTTTATTCGTCCAATAATATTGAATTTCCTTGATGACTCACATCATTGTTTGGTATTATGATAAAACGTTCGTCAAAGCTTCGAGCTTTTGTTTAGATTTAGCTTGACATTTCTACACCACGGATAGCCAAATTATATCATAGCTGTCGAGTATATAAAACAGCTGAAAATACACTTGTATCAAGAACAGCAGTTTATAAGCACAACTTTTTGAATTTTAACATTTTTGATATCATTAGTATTTTAAGAATATAGAATTGACTTTGTTTATCTCTAAAAGAGTTTTTGAACGGCATAAAAGAAAAACAATTACAAGTGTCAACATAAGGCTCTCTTCGCTTCGTGGTGTTTTATTTTCTGCAGATGTTAGATAATTCAAAACAAAACTTCGTAAAGGGTTTTTAAACTGCGTTTGCTTAAAAACACCTTATTGATACATCTGAGGTAAATATCGCGCGTTCTGAAATACGATTGGTCCACATGTCATCGCGGCTGGTGCCTAGGAAACCATACATGTACATCGCGAAACGAATCGCGCACGAGTTTGCTCCCGGAAAAATAGTCACTATGATATTTACCGTAAATTAGAATATGAAGAGAAAAGCTATGGCTGGAGGCGAATATTCAAAACTTTCGCAAGCGGATGAAGAAACAGGCTGCCAGTTCGCCAGACAAGAGAAACATCGACATGAAAATGACGCGAAGAGAAGATTGGTCACCGCGTGTCTGTTTTGCGTTTTATTTATTATCTGCGAGGTTACAGGTAGGAAAAAAATTACAGATCTCTGAGGAAATAATGAATGAATGATATGAGCACTAACCATTTCCATACTTGCCATCTGTGTTAAAAATATCAGTGCGTTGTCTTTCCTTTCGGCTGATCGATTAGTCAACTTTAAAAATCTTTTGAACAGAAAAACGGCGATTTGTTTCGAAAAGTAAATCTTTTATGGACAGAAGTTTACACTTCCTTTAAAATGGAAGCAATTTAGCGATCAACATAAGGAGTTAATTATATGCAAAATTGGTTTGTGATATGTGGTATTTTCTTGTTATGGTCCACGGAACTTCATATCAACAAATACTTTGGTGTGAATTTAAAACTCTTGGATTTACCTTTTGCGCATGGTTTTATTAAATTTCCAAAATAGTCAAAAGAACAAAAAAAATTAAATATAGAGGCAACTTCCAAGAAAGTTTCGAAATTTTGTCGTTAGAAAATCCTTTTTGGCTTCTTAGAAGGGTTCTTCGCAAATTTCAAGGGAAGTGAAGCAGTGAATTAAAACAACCTTCAAGCAAATGGAAGTGAAAATAGAACCGGCTGGAATTAAAATTCTCCTGAAGAGGTGTTGAAACCAAGCCATTTTTTAAAATCGTTTGCTGAGTTAATAGACAGGGAATTAGGTTAAGACAAGGTCACAAATGCCTCGTTAGAGAGTTTCTCCTAATAACGAAAATGACACCTGTGCCAAACAAATAAATAATTTTTTTACCATGGGAAAAATGCATCTCAAGCACCTGTTCGTAAAATTATTCTTTTTTTAGGCTGTGGGTTTATAGATATCATAAAGCAACACGCTGAATGAAATAGGTGAAAACCGGATAACTTTAGCGTTAATGGCTGTATTTGCAATCATTGACATTTCAAGACAAACAACTCACAGCTAAAACAAATTTAAATTTAAAAACATTTAGCCTGACTTTTAAAGGAAATGCTTCGTTATGAGAGCTATTCAGCAGCACTTGCCTGTGATAATGTACTGATCTCCTTCTTATTTTTGAACTTGACGATAAAAAAAGAACGGCCAAAATTTACCTCCCCCAACACTATGTTTTTTTTAAAATGAAAGGATGATCAGTAAACAGCTAGAAGTTTACTGGGCTGTTTAACAAGACGTCTCTGTTATTTTTAAGACTTAAGTCAGTTGCCTGTGTTTGCTCATCCCTTTTCACCTCAGAATAGTAAAAAAAAACCCTGATAACAGTTTTTCGTCGTATAAACTAAAGAAGGAACCGAGAATAACTCCAAATGGTGACTAAAGAAAAAATAAGCAAAAAATATCAGATTTCGTTTTGTAAAATCCTGAGAAGTAAATGTTTTGCAAAAAGGGTTCCTCATTACACATTACAAGATTTTCGTCCACAGATTTGAAAGTTAAAGAGACCAATTGAGGTTGAGATAATTTGTTTTAAGGATTGAGAATCATGAGTGGTTTATCCTGTGTGAGGCGGCCGCTCTAGGAACAACGAGGGCATTCACACAACCTGGTTCCCAGGGCCCTCTCTTGCCCGTGGAAAGAGTAGGAGAGGAATCTGGGAACGATGTTGACATTCACAGTCCTAGGAGGATATTGCAATTTGCGGTTTGAGCATGCGTTGGTTTTGGGTCAAATAGTGTTGTGGGACTGTTTTAGGAGCCATATCTCTTTTGCAGGTTTTGATTGGCTATTACTGCTATTACGATTTCGCTTGGGAAACTGGATCAAAATTCATCTCCTAAACAGTTCCGAACCAGTCAGATCAGAGGGTAAACTGCCGCTTATAAGCCCCCCAGTTATAAGCCCCCTCGGTTATAAGCTCCCCAGTTATAAGTCCCCCTCTGTTATAAGCCCCCCCAACCCCCCCAGCTATAAGCCCCTCCAGTTAAAAGCCCCCCCCCCACAGCTATAAGCCCCCCAGTAAAAGGCCCATCTACCTGTACGCAAAAAACACGTCCGATTTTAAACCCCCCTCGGATATAAGCCAGTCCGTTTATAATCCCTCCTAAAATCCCTTACAAAGATGTATAAGTTCAGTGCTTGTAGTCGGCAGCTAATGGTGCAAAAACTCGGACTCTGCGAATAAACACAGAGCACATCTTCACAAGCTATCAAGCTTGCTGAGAACAGAGGGTAAAGAATGGATTGCATTTGCGTTAAATTGTTGTTATTTTCAAACGCAGGTGGTTTAATTGCCAACAGCCTCGCCATCATGAACGATGCTCTGCACCAGATTTTTGATCTAAACTCTTTGTTAATGAGCCTCGCTGCTTCGTGGATAGCACGATGGAAACCAAACCAGAGGAAAACATACGGCTACTACAGAGCTGGTAATTGTTAATATACACATGCCAGGAACGCGCACTAAAGTGATTGAATCCTCGATTAGAATTAAATTCTTTTCACGAAAAGGCCTTAAGCTTAGTCCTCAGCCTTACATAAAAATGCACTTTAGGCTGATCCGCCCTCCCAGCACGTGCAACAGGGCAATTGCCGCACATGTGTTGTGTGGAAATGGCGTTTAAAGGAGTGCTTTGCACTCGCCTAGGCAGTTAAGGCATCTAAAAACGGCTTTGACCGTCTAGAAGATCCGACGGCTAAGCCATCTGATGAGCGAAGCAGCTGTCTATTACTGCTACTGCTCCGGTGACATGTCTTTGCAAATGCGTTAGGTACTGGTGGGTTGGTGTGCGTGTGTAATTTGGTTTTTAGAGCCCACCATGGAGTACCATGGTTAATCAATTAGCAAAAGAAGATTGTCGCAGGGTAGCAACCGCCACTGGTGAATTTCAAGACACACACACAGCGACTGTGTCAATGTATTTAGCACGAAAGTACTAGTAAGGACACTGATTTTACATTCCCTACTGGAGACGGGACCCAGCTTCATACATCCGGGCCACCCGAACTCGGTTAAAAGTTAAAAATGCTCTTTTTTATGAACGCTTAGAGAAATTGAAGTTTTATGCTGCCTATTTGCGCGGTAGTCTTTATGCTCATACCATTTTTCTTGTCGGTGCAAGTGTACTGAAAATAGCACACGCGTTTAACAAAGATAAAGGTGATAATTAAAAACAGGTTACCTAGTTTTTACTTCATTAATGACTTGCTCGATAAACGTTTTTCACAGAAATTCTTGGAGCGTGCGCCGTTATTCTGACGTTATGGCTGCTGACCGGAGTGCTGGCGCATGAATCAATCCTTAGGTTACTTCCAGGTTCCACCGGTCATCATAGTCACGTGAACCCTGATGCAATGATACTTACTGCTGCGCTTGCCTTTGGTGCTAATATTGTGTAAGTACGTCTTAACACTGAATAGGCACTAATCCTAACTGTCTCATTACCAAAGTCCTTTTGGTGGCAAGGAAATGTTCGAATATAAGACAAGTAATTAGCTTAAATGACGCATTTTTGCCACAGTAAACGTTCCTCTTGCATTTTTCCTGTACAATTAACTCTTTCTTAACGAACACTAATCTAAAACTGTCATGTACTAGGTGGTTTTAACTTTTGAGTTTGTGGATGAAATCCTAAAATGTGACCTATAAATGAAAGCTACTTAGCAGCACTTGCCTGTGGTACTGTTTATTATCCTGTACAAGGTGATTCTAACTTTTGAGTCTGTGGATGAAATCCTAAAGTATGACCATTCAAATGAAAGCTACTGAGCAGTACTTTCCTGTGGTACTATTTGTTTTTCAGCTCTGTACATAATGAAACTTGAATAATTTGTGTAATTTTGACTTTGGCCACCTCTTGCAGTGAAAGTTTTTAAGACATACGGGTGTGTTTATCAAGATGGCTACAAGGCTAGCCCTTATCAACATTGATCGCCGGATATTTACATTTTCTATTTCGAAAAGTAAATCTTTTATGGACAGAAGTTTACACTTCCTTTAAAATGGAAGCAATTTAGCGATCAACATAAGGAGTTAATTATATGCAAAATTGGTTTGTGATATGTGGTATTTTCTTGTTATGGTCCACGGAACTTCATATCAACAAATACTTTGGTGTGAATTTAAAACTCTTGGATTTACCTTTTGCGCATGGTTTTATTAAATTTCCAAAATAGTCAAAAGAACAAAAAAAATTAAATATAGAGGCAACTTCCAAGAAAGTTTCGAAATTTTGTCGTTAGAAAATCCTTTTTGGCTTCTTAGAAGGGTTCTTCGCAAATTTCAAGGGAAGTGAAGCAGTGAATTAAAACAACCTTCAAGCAAATGGAAGTGAAAATAGAACCGGCTGGAATTAAAATTCTCCTGAAGAGGTGTTGAAACCAAGCCATTTTTTAAAATCGTTTGCTGAGTTAATAGACAGGGAATTAGGTTAAGACAAGGTCACAAATGCCTCGTTAGAGAGTTTCTCCTAATAACGAAAATGACACCTGTGCCAAACAAATAAATAATTTTTTTACCATGGGAAAAATGCATCTCAAGCACCTGTTCGTAAAATTATTCTTTTTTTAGGCTGTGGGTTTATAGATATCATAAAGCAACACGCTGAATGAAATAGGTGAAAACCGGATAACTTTAGCGTTAATGGCTGTATTTGCAATCATTGACATTTCAAGACAAACAACTCACAGCTAAAACAAATTTAAATTTAAAAACATTTAGCCTGACTTTTAAAGGAAATGCTTCGTTATGAGAGCTATTCAGCAGCACTTGCCTGTGATAATGTACTGATCTCCTTCTTATTTTTGAACTTGACGATAAAAAAAGAACGGCCAAAATTTACCTCCCCCAACACTATGTTTTTTTTAAAATGAAAGGATGATCAGTAAACAGCTAGAAGTTTACTGGGCTGTTTAACAAGACGTCTCTGTTATTTTTAAGACTTAAGTCAGTTGCCTGTGTTTGCTCATCCCTTTTCACCTCAGAATAGTAAAAAAAAACCCTGATAACAGTTTTTCGTCGTATAAACTAAAGAAGGAACCGAGAATAACTCCAAATGGTGACTAAAGAAAAAATAAGCAAAAAATATCAGATTTCGTTTTGTAAAATCCTGAGAAGTAAATGTTTTGCAAAAAGGGTTCCTCATTACACATTACAAGATTTTCGTCCACAGATTTGAAAGTTAAAGAGACCAATTGAGGTTGAGATAATTTGTTTTAAGGATTGAGAATCATGAGTGGTTTATCCTGTGTGAGGCGGCCGCTCTAGGAACAACGAGGGCATTCACACAACCTGGTTCCCAGGGCCCTCTCTTGCCCGTGGAAAGAGTAGGAGAGGAATCTGGGAACGATGTTGACATTCACAGTCCTAGGAGGATATTGCAATTTGCGGTTTGAGCATGCGTTGGTTTTGGGTCAAATAGTGTTGTGGGACTGTTTTAGGAGCCATATCTCTTTTGCAGGTTTTGATTGGCTATTACTGCTATTACGATTTCGCTTGGGAAACTGGATCAAAATTCATCTCCTAAACAGTTCCGAACCAGTCAGATCAGAGGGTAAACTGCCGCTTATAAGCCCCCCAGTTATAAGCCCCCTCGGTTATAAGCTCCCCAGTTATAAGTCCCCCTCTGTTATAAGCCCCCCCAACCCCCCCAGCTATAAGCCCCTCCAGTTAAAAGCCCCCCCCCCACAGCTATAAGCCCCCCAGTAAAAGGCCCATCTACCTGTACGCAAAAAACACGTCCGATTTTAAACCCCCCTCGGATATAAGCCAGTCCGTTTATAATCCCTCCTAAAATCCCTTACAAAGATGTATAAGTTCAGTGCTTGTAGTCGGCAGCTAATGGTGCAAAAACTCGGACTCTGCGAATAAACACAGAGCACATCTTCACAAGCTATCAAGCTTGCTGAGAACAGAGGGTAAAGAATGGATTGCATTTGCGTTAAATTGTTGTTATTTTCAAACGCAGGTGGTTTAATTGCCAACAGCCTCGCCATCATGAACGATGCTCTGCACCAGATTTTTGATCTAAACTCTTTGTTAATGAGCCTCGCTGCTTCGTGGATAGCACGATGGAAACCAAACCAGAGGAAAACATACGGCTACTACAGAGCTGGTAATTGTTAATATACACATGCCAGGAACGCGCACTAAAGTGATTGAATCCTCGATTAGAATTAAATTCTTTTCACGAAAAGGCCTTAAGCTTAGTCCTCAGCCTTACATAAAAATGCACTTTAGGCTGATCCGCCCTCCCAGCACGTGCAACAGGGCAATTGCCGCACATGTGTTGTGTGGAAATGGCGTTTAAAGGAGTGCTTTGCACTCGCCTAGGCAGCTAAGGCATCTAAAAACGGCTTTGACCGTCTAGAAGATCCGACGGCTAAGCCATCTGATGAGCGAAGCAGCTGTCTATTACTGCTACTGCTCCGGTGACATGTCTTTGCAAATGCGTTAGGTACTGGTGGGTTGGTGTGCGTGTGTAATTTGGTTTTTAGAGCCCACCATGGAGTACCATGGTTAATCAATTAGCAAAAGAAGATTGTCGCAGGGTAGCAACCGCCACTGGTGAATTTCAAGACACACACACAGCGACTGTGTCAATGTATTTAGCACGAAAGTACTAGTAAGGACACTGATTTTACATTCCCTACTGGAGACGGGACCCAGCTTCATACATCCGGGCCACCCGAACTCGGTTAAAAGTTAAAAATGCTCTTTTTTATGAGCGCTTAGAGAAATTGAAGTTTTATGCTGCCTATTTGCGCGGTAGTCTTTATGCTCATACCATTTTTCTTGTCGGTGCAAGTGTACTGAAAATAGCACACGCGTTTAACAAAGATAAAGGTGATAATTAAAAACAGGTTACCTAGTTTTTCCTTCATTAATGACTTGCTCGATAAACGTTTTTCACAGAAATTCTTGGAGCGTGCGCCGTTATTCTGACGTTATGGCTGCTGACCGGAGTGCTGGCGCATGAATCAATCCTTAGGTTACTTCCAGGTTCCACCGGTCATCATAGTCACGTGAACCCTGATGCAATGATACTTACTGCTGCGCTTGCCTTTGGTGCTAATATTGTGTAAGTACGTCTTAACACTGAATAGGCACTAATCCTAACTGTCTCATTACCAAAGTCCTTTTGGTGGCAAGGAAATGTTCGAATATAAGACAAGTAATTAGCTTAAATGACGCATTTTTGCCACAGTAAACGTTCCTCTTGCATTTTTCCTGTACAATTAACTCTTTCTTAACGAACACTAATCTAAAACTGTCATGTACTAGGTGGTTTTAACTTTTGAGTTTGTGGATGAAATCCTAAAATGTGACCTATAAATGAAAGCTACTTAGCAGCACTTGCCCGTGGTACTGTTTATTATGCTGTACAAGGTGATTCTAACTTTTGAGTCTGTGGATGAAATCCTAAAGTATGACCATTCAAATGAAAGCTACTGAGCAGTACTTTCCTGTGGTACTATTTGTTTTTCAGCTCTGTACATAATGAAACTTGAATAATTTGTGTAATTTTGACTTTGGCCACCTCTTGCAGTGAAAGTTTTTAAGACATACGGGTGTGTTTATCAAGATGGCTACAAGGCTAGCCCTTATCAACATTGATCGCCGGATATTTACATTTTCTAAACCGTGTAAATGTTAAAGCTAAACATAAATTTTGTAATGAGTCTTTTTAAACTGAAAATATTTACAACTTTTACAGATTGATTGGTTGATTGATTAATGGGTTCGATTAAATACATTGTTTTTCTTCCATTTGTAGAATTATTTGTTTATTGAACGTTCATTCACATCATGGTGACCATCACTGCGAAGCAAACATTACAGTCAGGGCTGCATTTCTTCACACTCTGGGAGACGTGTTTCACAGTTTTGCCGTACTTGTCGGTGCAATTCTCATTAAAATCAATGTAAGTACACCCGAAGCTGGTTATCCATAATTCAGCTGTCCACGGCTGTTACTGCCCGCGTGATATAACTGTGCGCATGCGTAAGGTACTGCCTGGCCCTTCCGCGGAGTTGGTAGTGTGTACTTCTTTGCTAAATTTGATTGTTATTCATATGAAGTCTGACTTAAGCCTTCGTACTAGCAATTGTTTCCGTTCGAGCTTCGTTGCCAAAGCCGGAGCAAGAGCAAAAAAATGCGCGCGGAAACGCTTGCTAGCTAGTCTGACAAGGGCTTAAGGCCGGGACACCTTTACAACTCGTTATACGTTGTCCACTGAAATAAGATACATGTGCTTTTCCAGTCTATGCTCCACGACTCTCTCTGTCGTGTTTACAACAAATTAAGTCGCTGGCTTTAAATATATATTGCTTTTGTCGATTCCAGTGTCAATCTTTTGAGGATGATTTAAAAAATGATGAATGAAAAAGCTTATGCGCAGACGCATCATTCATTCACGATGTTCTCTCTCGCAGGGGAGTATGGGACATACTCTCTTGTCTAGCTTGTCCCCTTGTTTCTCATCCTTTATAGTCTCATGTCTCTCTATAAATAATCCGCCGTTTTGTTCCTCCCTTCATTTTCACTGGCAGTTTAGAACGGAATCAGTTTTAGCTTATTGTCGCTGTTTACTGTATTCTCGTTTCAAAATATTTGCCTGACTTGTCTTGCTTTGCTTTGCAGCCGACGTGGGAAATGGCTGATCCAATTCTTAGCCTATTAGGCGCATGTGTGGTTCTTGTATCTACTCTCAGTGTTCTTAGAGAGTCTATCAATATCTTATTGGAAGGTAAGAGTAAATATTAGGCATCCTGTTTTAACGCTAAGCATTGCGGGTAAATATTAACAAGTATTGAGCCTTTTCACATGTGGTCACGGCGGTCATATTGCAATTGGTGTTACAAACAAATCTCCTAGGAGTTGAACTCTTTTCTTATGTAAATGCATTCTTTTGTTCCAATAAATTTGCATAGACCGGCTGGCCCAGTGAGTGAAAATGCTCTCTACGGATGCTAAGTGGTGTGAAGCATAGATTATGGTGTCAGAGGTGGAGCGTTTAGCTCCAGGTAGTTGCGCCATAGGGTGGAGAAGAGGGGATGAACCTGATTTCACAGGAAGGGTTAGGAGGGATTGAGCTGGATAGATAGTCATCTGAACTTAAAGAAAATTTTTGGGTACGTAATTAAAGAACCCACAAAATGATTTAATGTCTAATCAGTGCATTTTTCATATTTCGTGTTTCTTCAGGAGTGCCTTCAAACATAAGACTTGCTGATGTCAAAAATGATCTGACGAATACTGATCACGTGCTTGGTGTTCATAGTCTACATATCTGGGCACTTACAACAAACAAGACAATAATGTCAGCTCACGTGGTCATAGGTATGTAAATTTAACATATAGTCGCCGGCCATCTGTCGCTCTTTTGCGTTAGTTAAAGTTTCGGCTATGTTTACACTGGCTGTGTTGAGGCTAAACAGTCTGTTCGAATCCTTTTGTGATTTATAAGACTCCAGGCATGCTGCGCGCGCAAACCTCGGTGTAGTTGTGAAAACGTTCAGATCGTGGGGACTGCTCAAAAAGATGTGAGCACAAAAAAAGACAACTCCTTCACGCCGCACTCCCAAGGCTGTGCTCTAAGGAAAATTTCAAGGAGCCCTTCGGGCTCCCAAGCATTTTAGTTTAGGCGCCCAGACCTCAAAGTTGGTCGCCCGAATAAAAATTTCTCGGAGCCCTTCGGGCTCCCAAGCGTTCCAGCCCGGGTGCCCATTCCTCTCAAGTTGGTTGCCCGAGTACATCTGAGGAACTTTTTTTTATGCACACGAATCTTACTGGCCTGCTGATCACCAAAGTCGGCAATTTTAGCTTTTGGGTTTTGACAAAAACCTGCATGTTGTCTTATGAAACCCATCAAAGTTTTCGTGCCATTCAGATTTAAGACCAGAAACGTGAGCAATGCCGCCGAATTGTTTAGGTCTTAAAGAGGGAAAAGTAGAAAAATTTCAGCAGGTTTACGTAAACTTCATTAAGATCTTTGGGTCAAGGAAAACTGTGCTTTTTACCAGTACTACTAAACTTGAAAATAAATTTTTAAAAGGTGAATCAATGCGGCATGAAATATAATGTGACGGAGTTTTATACGCAGCAGATCGAACTCAAGTTTCCGTGAAGAATTCCGTGAAACAGTGAAACCGCCGCGGCCCCAACCTATTGTTTTAATAAAAAATAATTCATCTTTAATTTTCTTTTCTATATTATCAGTGAATCTTTTAGGATAATTGAGCTTTTCGTGGATATGGTCGAAGCGTAAACCAGCTCTTCTTTCCGTGTTTTTATTTTTTATTTTTGGCCGTTGTATATGCATCCATGCGAATTTAGTTTTCGATACGTAAAATGCCAAGACAACGTGAAACTACCCTGTTTCTAAAACAACAATAAAAACGATCAGAACGATCATATCTTTTCTGTTTATATTTCGTTATCTTGTGTAAAGGGAAGAAAACAATCATACGTTAGGTTTTAGCCAAGCAGACACACAGCAGCCAAAAACCGTAAAACATTACATTTGCATACTGCTCAATACAGCAACTTCCGTTGTACACGAAAATAAATTACTCCGCGTCGCCAGCCGCGCTCTACGTCTGTCAGAAAAGTATTGACAATTTCTCCTGAAAACTGTACCTAATGAACCATTCTATCTCAAACAAAAATTTTAAAACTATTTTGAGAAGCGGTACAAATCGAAAATCGTGCCGCTTGTCACGTTCAAAGTGATGGATTATGTTACATGTGAAATCATGCAGAACGACCTTTGAACATCGACGCGCGCCCGTTTCTTCCGTACAACATTCGTAAAACATTTTCTGTAGGGTTTAGTAAACTCCGACTCAACAAGCCAACGCTGGTATGCTAAATTTTTCTGCCCGCTTAACTGAACACTCCACCAGAAGCAAGAGTGCCCGGCCGGGCGACCGGGAACTTTTTTTCAGTCGCCCGGAGCTAAATGTTAGTCGCCTCAGGCGACCGGGCGCCGTTAGAGCACAGCCTTGACTCCACTGTCCGAACGCCTGAAACAGGCTAGTCGTGATACAAACCATGTGCTTAATTACCTGTAACGCTTTGGAGCGAGTTCCTCATCCTCTGATAAGTTCNTTTGTCAAGCACAACAGCGTTCCCAGTAACATTCCTTGCTGCAGACCGGCCGGTCCATCCCTGAAGCCCCCTACCAGCTTTTTAACTGCAACAACGTTAATATACTTTATTGGTGCTGGAATTACCGTGGCTGTTTTCATCAGTCTTGCCGTGGAGGGGGTGCTCTAGATTTTATCTGACTTGTAGTAGTTTTACTAAGCCTTGATGAGACTGTGACTCGTTGTGTTGATCGAAAACGTGCTGACGCGTGCAAGTCTGAGTCTTCATTAAAGTTGTGTTTTTAACAATCTGCGTTTGTGTGTGAGGCGCGTTTGGCCCCCGGACACGCTGTACCGGGTAGCTTTTGCGCTGGCACAAAAACGGAGTAGAGCTTCTGTTCAAACATAAGAACAGGGATTTCAGCGCGATTTCTGTATCGAAGCGAAGCTGCGCCAATCTCGAGAGTGGAGGGTCACATATCGGATAGGTTCTGTGCCACACTTTGGTGTAGTGTGAACAAGTGTGAACAGGTATTCGGGCGGTAGCGGAAGTGAATAAGTTCGAGCGAGGATCGGAATCCACTGAGACGGAAGTAAATATTCAGGAGTGAGGACTGGGATTTAGTTCACCAAGCCCTCTCGGCCAACCACTACGGCACGATGTGCGTGAACGACTTGTTTTAGTTCTGCACCGTTGCTGCTGATAATATAAGACCGTCAATTTCTGAAGCAATGTAAAAACAGTAAAAATCATAACTTATTCTAGGGTTTTAAGGACCTTAACCTAATAGTCCTAATCAACGCACTCAAGGAAAATCAGCAAAAATCAGCCAGTCTTGGCCAATGCCTCAAGGAGGTTTCGTAGTGCTCGAAGGCTCCATTGAATGTGAGACTTGCATCTGTCAGAGGTACAGTCAAATTCTCACTAAACGGACACCTCATTATTACGGACAGTTTGCTGTATCCCTGGGGAAAGAAAGCCCTTACATTTTCTGTAAAGTCAACCCGCTTAATACGGACACCTCATTATTACGGACAGTTTGCTGTATCCCTGGGGAAAGAAAGCCCTTAGATTTTCTGTAAAGTCAACCCGCTTAATACGGACACCTCATTATTACGAACAGTTTTCTGTATCCCTGGGGAAAGAAAGCCCTTACATTTTCTCTTAATTCAAACCGCTTAATACGGAGACTCCGTTAAAACGGACGCTGTCTATGGCCCCCTTACTGTCTGTAGTAACTTGGTTTGATTGTACTTGATGAATCAAAAGTGATTCGTAGGCAAACTGAAATTTGCTTTCTTCTTTTTCTACAGATCCCAGAGCGGATGTGAACTCATTGTTAGAGGACGCAACGACGACATTGTCAGAGAAATACAACTTTCACAAGTCTTGTTTACAAGTGGAAATTAAGCGAACAGAAACTAGGAGTAATTTCCACCAAAATAATACTGAATTAATCGCCGAACAATAGACTAACAAAGAAATTATATATTTTCTCGCTTATTTGCGAAGGAAACTTTCCACTTCCTACTGTTTTTTTCTCGGTTTTAAGGGATCCTACTTCTGGACTACAAGGATCCCCAATAGGGTCAATCCGGTATATGGATGGTTATTTTCGGCATCCCACAACCCGTGAATACTTTCAATCCCGAATCTCGCCACCAGTTTGCTTTAAAATCCCAGCGAATGCCCTCCTTCAAATAATGCGAACTCCGAGTCCTGAAAACCCTTTTGGAGTCCCTCGACTACCGTAGCTTGCGATCAGGCCTTCTAGTTAGAAATAGGAGAGAAAATCCCTTCCCATTACTAAATTTCTTCCCCTCACATCTCGCCTTTTCAGCCTTGTTCCCCAAGGATAGCCGGTTTACAGGCTGCCTCCATTTGTACTACCAGAAGGAATCGTTTTCAGATTGCAAGATGTGTGTAAGGAAAATAAAACCGAGTTCTTGAAACTCGAAAAGTGAACCTAGATTCTGGGTTTGGAAAATGTTGCTTGCAATACCCGCATATAAAAGAAGTATTTCTTTTGAAATTCTGGTGAAAGTTAACCCAGCTTGTTAGCTCCTGTTACAGGCCAGTCTCAGATGGTATAAGTCGATATAAGGACTACTATCAGATAGTATGGGCTATTCGGGCGTAATTTTACGCCTGCTCTCGAAATATCGCCACTACAAGGAAGGGAAATTTATGATCTTGAGAGGTGTCGGCAATTTAAATGATTAGTGCCCTTGGGAGGCTGTGTTTTTTCTCCTGACAGCTACATGTAACTGGCTGTGTCGAAAGTATGTCCACACGTCTCCGTCTAAGTTTGTAGAAGTATACATTCAAATTTATGCGTCATGGCTTCCGTCAGAAGCACATATATGCTTCTGCTTTCGTCCAAAAGTGAAAGCGATCTCTTCATAGAAATAGATATATATATAAGTGAACGCAAAAATACGTCTTAAAAGAAAAGTTTGCATTTTTGGCGCGGGATTTGCACGTACGTAAAAACCTCGATATAACGAAGGGCCAAGGGATTGGCAAAAATATGTTCGCAAAACGAGGTTTCGCCGGGGATATCGAGCTTCTTTTCCATATATTTTGCTATAAATGAGGCGAAGAGCATCGGTTGCTGTATTAAGGACTCGTAATACCTTGGTTTCACTGTAGACTGATGCAGTTTTTGCCGATTCGCTGCAATGATGTTATTGCGTTGATGCAACAATTATCATGTGCTTAAGGTAATGGTCTTTGATATTCCATGAGGACCCATAACGACGTAAGTTTGTATGTGTCTAATACTCAAATTGATTTGATATTCCTGAATTCAGCGTGATTTTGAATCCTTGTTTAAGTAATATATAGAAAAGTATGAAACAGTATTCTAAAAAAATGAGTACATAAAAAACTTTCAATTTTCTAAGCGGTCTAACTAAGTTACTGCCACGCTTTCTTCCACGCGTACGAGGCTCCAGAAATTAATAAAAACTGCGTCTTTTATTTGCCAAAGTGCTATTTTTGACGGTTGATTCGCTCAGAACAAACGCTTCAAAAGTCACGCTTTATTGATTCTTAACAAACGTAAACAATACAACGAAATTATCTCAACGGCAGCATAAAAAACTGCGCGGTTTTTCCTGAAATTATCATTTTATGTCGAGCACGCCAGCCTAATGGACCAAAAAAATGTAGGCAGCCGGGCAAGGAAGAAGTGGCTTGCTTGCAAGCTTGCCATGAAAAAGTCATAGCTTTGAAACTAGAATAGCCAATATACTTATCAAGAGGAAGGTGAAGGATTCAAAAATATCTGTCTTGGTCGACTGACCTCTCTAAGATACTTTCGTTAACTTGTGCAGAGTTGATCTATAGCCCGATTGGAGCAACTCGTGGACAATTTGGTGCATAGTCACGATTTCAAGACTAAACATTCCAAAAGGTAAGTTACTCTCCAGTTTAAAAGCAGGAATAATTATTATTATTTAACAATTTTTAACTAAAAACGGTTTTTTCAAACATTAACGGTAACGGATGATGTTGTACTTAAGCATGAGTGCATGTTAGTGTACTGCATGGATTGGCTCGCAAAAAGTTCAGTTGCGTTGAAGGAAAACCAAAGTTGATTTTTGTTTTTGTACTTCATAAGTATCTTAAACTTCATGTAAATTTTGCCTTTTTGCTGTCAAGAAAATGTAAAAATCAGAAAACTGTTTGATAAGAATTCGAAAAATCATTTGCACACCATGTGACTGGCAAGTTAGAATTTAACCGCTGTTAAAAAGTTTCGCTCTTGAAATATAGTTTCATAAAGTTTTTCAGAGAAAGGTCTGCTGTAATTTCTTTGATTTTTTCATATCCTACAACGTCGGCTAAATGGGGCGCCAAATTGCAAAATGACCAAAAAATTTAACGCATTTGTTTACATAATGCCTTTGTTCTTTTGTCTTAACTTGGATAGATGCAGTTGATCGAAAACGTCTTATTTTACTATAGAAAACAGAAAATGAAATATGTTAGATGAATGAAATCAATGCTTTTGATTGTATTTTCAAGATATCCTTGCACCATATACAACATATCAGTAAAGTAGAGACCCTTTTCGAATGTCTCGTCTGCCTTATTAGTATGCTAATAATTAGATCAAATCTGATGTCACACCACAGCGCGTTTTCATTTTGGCGGGAAATGCATTTTTCTTATACTGATTTCCATGAGCACATTTTATTTTCTGGAATTCACGTCTTTGACGAGTAGAAAATAAAAAAAAGTTCCCTATTCATTTCATATCGGCTTTCGAAATTTGCATTCAGAGAAGTGTATTCGACTTAAGTTTTATATGCCTTTACAATAATTTCTTGCACAAAATGTAATTATGCGTGAGGCTCGTTTTGCAGCGCTCTTCTAGCCTTAATTTTGCACAAAGTCGAAACTGAATGGAAAGGTATCTTCTCCTCTCTCGTATAACCGTCTTTTGTTTTCTTGTTGTTAAAAGCTTTAAACTCTAAACTGAATACGATTGAACTAACATTAACTTTGACTTTCTAATGAACCGTGCAGAATTTGCAAAGTTTCGCAAAAATTGAAAATTAACGAGAGATCACTGAAATAGCTTATAATTTCAACACAAAGTTCGTATCAGCATGTTTGAACTCAACAATAGTACATATAATTTAGTGAAGAAGTTGATACACTATTATTCATGTTGTTCAAGAAATGCTGCCTGCCCCAGAAAACATTCATTGTCTGTCTTTGGAGCTGAAGTCTTAACAGGGGGATAATTATGTGCATTTTTAAAGTACACTTCGCCCTCCAATTTTTTTTATTCTTATCAAGGGTGTAAATAAGAACTTAAAAACGTAAGCAAAACAAAGATATGAATATTGGAGGGATCTCTTAATTTTCGAGTGATAGTTCGTTCTGTTAAAAAGCCTTATCAGTAAAAAAATAAGGCAACCGAACACTGTTACTTTATGGTTGATAAATATGAGTACAGTGTTGTTTTATGTTGTCTAATTAAAAGTTCTTCGTATACTTGGAGTAGGGGAGTATCAAACAACGAACATAGAGATCTGACTATGTGTCAAATGATCGCCCTATAAGAGGTTTTAAAAACAAATAAAAAGTTATGAAGGTCCAGAGCTCCTTCAAGAGCATGGTAAGGTGGTCAGTTTTTGTCGAGATATTCGGAACTACAAAAAGGTTTGACTGAAAATTTTAGTGTGTTGGATATATAGGTAGTCGCTTCAATGGGCTGTTTGCTTTTAGGGTGAACGATAGTTTGCCTTTTATAGCGGAGCTCTCGCGCATGCCAAGCGCGCGCAGGGGAGCACCATGGGTGAGAAAAAATGGTAACCTATAGAGTGTTTTTACATGACGTCACGGCGGCCATATTGGTGTCCCAAAACAATGAAACGGCGGCCATGTTGGTGTCCCAAACCAGTCCTATGGGAGTTGAACTCCTTTCTCTTGCAAACGCTTTCTTTTGTTCTAATAAATTTGCATAGATGCTGGCCACGTGATTGAAAACACTCTATACATGCGATAAATTTTGGTAATCACATGACCCGTCTGTACGTCCGTCCTCCCCATACACGTAAACCAATGTCAAATTTCACATTTACTACAAGCACTATACTAAGGCATTGCAGGAGCCTATGGACATGGTAAATGATAAAAACCTGTCAGTTATCCTGAGGCCATCCACATGAAGATGAATTGACAGCTGTTAAAGTCGAGTCTTTTTTACGACTAAATTTCCACTAACGTGGAACACATACGATAGGGACTTTAAGATCCAACGACGCGACGGCGACAAGAACGTCGCTTAAAAATTGAATTTGCGTTCTTTCAGTCTTTATAGCGATTATTCCCCCCTACTTACTTGGTCAATAGTAGGCGAACCCTCCTGAAGCTGAATTTCAAGGGACCGTATTCAAGCTCAGAAAGAGAAATAAAATTTCGTCGTTGCTTGTTTACGTCCTCCACAAAACGCGCAATTAAGCATTTTCACGTCGTAGTCGTGTAAAGACGGGAAAGAAATGTACAAAAAAGTGTGATGCACGTGCGAAGTTGTTGTTTTGCTAATTAAACCTATTGTTTTTTGACGTTCTTGTTGTCGTCCGCGTCGTTGGATCTTAAAGTCCCTATTTCCTTCATAAAACGTGTTACTAGGAAGTTTCAAGTTGTAGTCGTGCAAAAGAACTGCAAAGAAATGTACAAAAAAGTGTGGTGCACGTGCGAAGTTGTTTTTTTGCTCATTAGACCTAATGTCTTGACTGTTTTTTTTTTTTGCCTATCTAGTTACCTTGTCACCATTTGGAATTATATAATTTTATTTTTGTTTGTGTAAACTATAAGTACATTAACGAGAGTTTCGCTTTTAGCCCTGGCTTAACCTATATTATGGCTAACTTTTAGTTTGATGTTGATGATGATGATAAAACTTTATTTCAGTGTCAGGTATTCTAGCTGGCCATGTAAGGCCTACTAATAGGGGACACTAAATTAAAATACTATCAGCTCTAACTAATTATTATAAAAAAATATTTACAAAGAATAAAATTTACAAAAATATACATACTAAAAAATATCGATAAAACGTGTTCGGATTCATCATATAAAATAATACTTATTGATTAAGAGGTGTCCTTTTTGTCTAGAAAATGTCGTTTATGTATACGTACAACATAGGAAGCAGTTTTTACAGCCCTCTGTGATTACTTTTTCAAGATCTACCTTACGAATTTTCTTTTTAAAGCTGTAAATTGATTCTGCGTTTTTTACATCCTTGCTTAATTTAGACCATATTACTGGACCCACATATCTTAGGCTATGTCTCCTGTAAGTTGTTGTGTTGTATCGAGGAATAAAAAAGTCGCCAGAATTTCTGAGCCCAAGATTATTTCCTTCACGTTTAAAAAAATTATTTAGTAAAAAAGAAATGTTTTCGTTGATATGCAATATAAATTCAAGGTCCTATCATGAGACA